GGCAAAGATCGTCCTGAATAAACTATCGTGGTTCGTCCCTCACATCACCCCCTCAGACGAAAATAAGATGCAACTGTACAAAACCATCCAAAGTAAATCCAAGATCCACTGTGGATTTCGCATGAGACAGTGTGATTCCATAGCCGTTCCCCAAGCCTCACAGTTTAACTGGCGCCTAGCTGCCAAGAGTGGTCGCGAAAAGCCTAGATATATCATTGTTGCCTTCCAAACCGACAAAAGTGGTGACCAAACCCATAATGCTGCCGTGTTCGATCACTGTCGATTGCGAAATATCCATGTCACCCTCAACGCTGAACGTTATCCAGCAGTCGACTATAATGCAGCTTTCAACGAAAATAGGATCGCCAGAGTGTTCAAAGAGGCCTCCGACTTCAGAAAGAAATTCCATAACATGGACAGTCTCCTCAGTAATGGTGGGATTAATCCCTCCGATTTCATCGACTTGTACCCCTTATTTGTGATTGATGTGAGTCATCAGTCTGAGCGTCTCAAAGAATCCACGGTGGATATTCAGATCAGAGCCGAATTCGCCCGTAATGTTCCAGCCAACACCGAGGCGTTTGCACTTGTCATTTCCGACAGAATCCTACAGTTTGAATCCGATGGTCAAAAGATGAACGTTGTGTACTAAAAGTAAATGGATAAAATTCACCTACAACTCCTCTTTGCCAGTCACCCCGCCGAAGTCTATGCGATCGTAGTGAAGGCTAGTAAACAACTCAAGGAGCAGTATGACGGTATCGAAGAGTGGAAGCAAAAATATGTGACAATGGTCTACCATAAATAAATGGATAACACATTGTTGCAGCAAATTGCTAATAACACCGACCCAAAGCATGGGTTTTCCTTCATCGTCTCTGGAAACGATAACCAAATCCTTACCCGGTTCAACCCCCCACTACAACTCAAGGAATCTAAGACCTACGAAATGGCATTAGTAAACCTGGAAACCTATAACTCCATCCCCAACATTCATACAGGTAACAATTCCTTCCGCTACTCCCCCGACGATGGTGCCAACTGGTTTCCCATCGCACTAAGCACAGGTTCCTATGACATCGAAGACATCAACAATGAGATCCAGCGGCGGCTGCGGCTCAACAAACACAAAACGAAGATCATCATCGATGCCAACAGGGCAACCCTAAGAGCAACGCTGACCCTCGCCAGACACTATCAAGTAGACTTCAACGTTGTCAATAGCATCAACACCGTCTTGGGATTCGAGCGGCAGATTTACACGTTCGATATGATCACAAACGGCTATACGGAAGGGGAACACATTGTAAATATCATCAGCATCAACAGCATTCTGGTGAATAGTGATATCATCCATGGAAGTTATGTAAATGGTACACAGCAGTCTACCATCTACAGCTTTTTTCCCGCAGACGGTCCTGGTATGAAGATCATTCAAACCCCAAAGAATCTAGTATACTTGCCGGTGACCTTGCGAACCATCAATCGCATGCAAACGTATCTCACCGATCAAGATGGTAGGCCCATCGATTTCAGGGGTGAACATCTCACCATCCGCTTTCATCTTCGTGAGGTATAAATAAATGACTTATCACGAACATGGTTTGAGTTTGACAAAAGGTCAAGCTGATAAACTACAACGGGCTGCCAAAAAAGGTTGTCCGGTCTCCATTCGTTTGTCCCACGCAAACCTGCAAGGTGAACACAAGATGTTGCTCACCACCCGCCAGGTTCAAAAGATCGCCAAGCTCCTACAAAAGGGTACTGGTGGTATGGTCCTAGAGTTGAGTGCGACCCAATTAAAGGAAAACATGCAGAAGGTGGGTGGCTTCCTACCCATGTTGGCGGGGCTGGCAATGAGGGCACTCCCCATGTTAGCAAAAACCATTCTACCCGCCTTGGGTGTTGGAGCCTTGAGTGGTCTTGGTGGTGTAGCCGTCAACAAGGCCTTAGGGTCTGGATTGTACCTGAAACGTGGTGGATGCGTTTGCACCGTGAAACCTAGTGGCAACGGTCTCTACCTCAAACCTTCAAACGCCCGGATCACCTATGGTGATGGACTCTACTTGAAGCGTGGTCAGCAATTCCACGACGGAGCTGGTCTAATCTTAGGTGCTAACAGCCCCTTCAAAAATATTCCCCTCCTCGGTATGCTCCTATAAATAAATGGATGATATAGATTCTGGATACCGACAGACCAGAGTCGAATGTATGGAAGATCAACTCAACGCGGATATACATAAGTATCAACATACCTTGAAGATCTACAAACGTCTGGACAAAGTTGTATCTGTAGCACTGGGTGTTTGTTCTGTGGGCAGTTTGGTGTTAACCAGCTGCACCATGGGTTCAGCTTTGACCGGTATAGGTATTATAGCCTCCCTTCCCCTAGGATCCCTTGCGTGCTTGAGTGCCACTGGCGTGATGGTACTCACACTAATCTCAAGGCGTATCATGAAAAAGAAGAAAAAACATCGCGACACCTTGCAATTGGCACAGTCCACAAAATTTTTGGTTGAACAATATATTAGTACTTCTTTGGCTGACGATGAACAGATCGATAATGCTGAGTTTGGGAAGATCGTTACCTGCCTCAAGAACTACTACAATGAGAAAGATCAGCTGCGACAACCCCTATCCAGTTTCAGTGAGGAGCTTTCGAAGTGTGCTTCCTAATCCCCAAAAAAGCTTTCCAATGGGTAAAAAGTCTCACGCCGTAATACTACTTTCACGCAATAAAAAGTATCACGCCGTAATACTACTTTCCCGCTATAAAAAGTCTCACGCTGTAATACTATTTTCCCGCCGTAAAAGTCTCACGCCGTAATACTACTTTCCCGCTATAAAAAGTCTCACGCTGTAATACTATTTTCCCGCCGTAAAAGTCTCACGCCGTAATACTCTTTTCCCGCTATAAAAAGTTTCACGCCGTTATACTCTTTTCCCGCCGTAAAAGTCTCACGCCGTTATACTCTTTTCCCGCCGTAAAAGTCTCACGCCGTAATACTACTTTCCCGCCATAAAAAGTCTCACACCGTAATACTATTTTCACGCTGTAAAAAAAAAAAAAACCTGTGATACAAGATTTAGACTCTTTTTTAATAATGTGGGTGGTCCTTAAAAGGACCGAGATATTCATGTATTGATTTAATCAAAAGTCACCATTCAAGTTCAATACATATTTCATGTAACATGTCGAGATGTTTGAAAATGTCTCTTACTGGTAAGTTACATTTCAATATTTTCTGATGTAGATCAGCAATCTGGTAAAATTTGACCAGTTTATAAATATAACTAGCAGAATACACAAGTTCGTGCTTTGCGAAGTAGGGACACAACTCATCCTTATGTAGCTTCAATTTTTGTTTCAAAACAAAAATAGTTTCTCCTTGTCCGAACGTATAGAACAGTACATTTCGTCTTGTGTGATCGATTTTCTTCTGTAGATTTTTAATTCTAGTGATACAGTCCTTTTCATTTCGCAAATCAGGCGGTAATTCTGTTAAATCATCATCTTCTTGTTCTTGGTAACTTTCCATCAATTTTCGTTTGAACATTTCCCTTTCTTCCTGCTTCGTTCGTTTCTGTGCAATTTTTTTCCTCTCTTTTTTACATTTCGATATTTTCGCTGATTGCTCAGCAAAGCGCTCGAGTTTTGTCCAGTACTCGTTCAATTCCTGATCGCTAGGATAAGCGTTGCATAAGTAGTTTCTGAAATCATCCATGATTGTACAAAATACCTTCCAGTCTTCTCCGTTCATTTCTGTATAATCCAAACAAAACAACGTCACAAAGGCAGTTAGCAACACTGCAAAACGATAACGTCTTAAAGCCCGCGTAAAAAGGACTATTGACGTACTGGCTATACAATAAGGGCATTACTAAAATCTTGTGCGTATCAAATGCGCATGCGCCGTAAAAAACGTCACAAATCATTCCGTTACACTTCACTCCACACATCGTTTCACGATGTGCTCCATTCCGCTTCACTTCATGATGTGCTCCGTTTCAAGCATAAAAAAAAAACTTTTCCAATCCGGCAGAAATGTCGGATCGGAAAAATTTTTTGTACCCCACCCGGCCCATTATTTTTTTTTTTGGACTTAATTTCTCACAAGGTCGTAAGAGAAGTACTCCTGCTTGGTCTTTTTGCTGACTTTAAAGCCTGTACTTCTCACGAAGGCTCCTACCATGGGTCCTGTCTCTCTGTTCAGTCCACTGCAGGCCCACACCCTATTCGTTTCTCCTTCTCTGTTTTTCAAGGTGAGGATCTTACTCTTTCCAAACTTCCCATCTACTTCTACCACTTCCAGGATTTTATAGATCACACCGGTTGAGAGTTCCTTCCATTTCAGGGTTTCCAGGCTCTGATCCTTTGCCTTTTCCTCGAAAACATTATCGTTCATAAAATCGTTGTCTACGATTTGTGGACTTCTGAGTTCCTCCATCTTTTGTACGAAAGACATATTTGTATTTACCCTAGGATTACATCCTTCTAAGGTGTTTGGGTTTTGTGCTAAACTGAAAGACATTCTTGTATTTACCCTATGCTCAATAGGGATGCCGTCCGTTTGCATTTGGCCGTCTGGGCTGGGGGTCCTATGCAGGATTTCCCCTTGAAAATGCGATTGCGGCAGAATCGGCCTTTTCATACTACTCATGATTATTTCGTTTTGAAGCAATACTGAATGCATGAATCGTAACCCTTTTTAAATACGTTCGAGTTCAACAAGTGAATATATTTGACTCTTTTATGCTGCTACATCTTCTGTAAAAAAAGTAAACTTTAAGTCATGTAAAACTGTATTAAATTAACAAAAGGGTTAAAATGGTAAGATGTCATATAATGTTTACGTATTTCGTTTGGTTGCTGTCTCATTGACTTAAACCCCACATCTTCTTCTAACATCTCCACCCCCCCCCCCCCCCCCCCCCCCCCCCCCGTACATGACTTGTACACTTATCTAGTTTTGATCAGTTTTGATTGCTTCGCATCATACCTTTTGAAACCAATGGCCAATAGCGTATTCAAACTGTTGGTACCAATACAGTGGCCCTTCACCTAGCGGATGTGTGCGTGCGCAAACAGCACCAACAGAAGTGTCACGTGTCATTAAATCAAGTAAAGCTTCAACGGAGTCTGGTGTAAATTTGACGTCTGCGTCTGTTGTTAGAATGAAAGCTGTTTCATCATCAACTAAAACAATAAAAGAAAAGTATACAGCTGTGTGATTGGAAATTTGTTCTTATAGACGTATCAATTCTACTAGCCTGTGCAAAAAAAAATCATTCAATGACCGAACTCCGAAACAATTAAATCGATAGTCAATCCTCGTCGATGCTGATTTGTGTTCATAATTGATTCAGAGCTAGTATTGCAACTCTGAAATGCAAACACGTAATTGAAGAAACAATGCAAATTTTGCTTCGAATAGTAACGAAACATTCGTCACTTGACGTTAAACAAACAAAATCCATCGATCTTTCAACTTTTATAATTGTAAAAATTTACTGTACTGAATGCAGTCGAATTATTTTTGATCCTATACATTTTATGCACGATCGTATTGTAAAAGATTGTTCCAGTTGGTCGATGTTAATAAAATTAGAAACTAGGAGACCATTTTCAGATTGAATGTGACAGATACGATCAACATAGGCATCAAACTTTGAAATATTCAACATAAGCAATCGTCCATAAGCAGAAATTAAACTGAATTTAAACAATACTTTGGATCGATTGAACACCCTTTTTCGGTCGCACTTTTGTTTTGTTCAGAGATCCGCGAAATCTGGGTCAAAGCTAAATTGGCATATGGACAAACGAATGCACAGACTAGAAAACATATGCGGGCCATAAGTTATAGTTATTGACCAAGCAATAAAATTGAGAATGGAAATGAGAAATGTGTCAAAGAGACAACAACCCGACCAAAGAGCAGAAAACAGCCGAAGGCCACCAATGGGTCTTCACCACAGCGAAAAAATCCCGCACCCGGAGGCGGGCTTCAGTTGGCCCCTAAACAAAAATGTGTACTAGTTCAATGAAAATGAACGTCACACTAAACTCCCAAACACATAAATGAACTAAGATTAAAAAATATACAAGACTAACAAAGGCCAGAGGCTCCTGACTTGGGACAGGCGCAAAAAACGCGGCGGGTTTAAAAATGTTTTGTGAGATCTCAACCCTCCTATACGTCTAGCCAATGTAGAATAAACAAACACACAGCAATATATATATGTATATGTGATTTAATCTGAACAGCTCGGGTGACCCTACTTGACCCGAACAATGTAAGGAATACAGGAACAAACCAGCGTTACAGTTTGTGTTATTTAGTTATTTAGACAGCTTTTATTGTCTTAAAGTTAATCATTCGCACTTATTTTCCATTTGTTTGGTAAGTATTAAAACCATATTGTACGCTCAATTTAGATTGATAGTAATTTACCATTCGCGTCTTCTTTGACCAGGAAATCCAAGATATATGACATATACATTATTTGACTCCAACGTTTCTTATTCTTCACCTAAAAAAAATGGAAACACTTTCGATATATTACAGTTATTTTACAGTGTTTGTGTAGTTGACACTTTGGAAATAGGAAATACTTCAAAATATGATTTTTGTCAGACATAATTGAAAGCATTCCCGCCATCAGCAAGTAATCTCTATATCATCTAGATACTTCGACTTAATATCACGTCAAGCCTTCCAGAGCACCTGAGATCACAACCGGTATTTGGTGGGGTTTCGTGATGCTGAGTATTTAGTTTTCTATGTTGTGTTTTTGTGAACTGTATTTGTTCGTGTTTTTATGAGTTTGAATATCCCTTTGGTATGCCTCTCTCGTTTTGATTAAGAAATAATAGATTATTTCAGTATGTCTAATTAACGAGAAACATATTTGCTGTCTAATTATCAGCATACTGATCTATTTTGTCAAAATAACGACAAATTAGATTATAAATATCTTCCGTCGAAAAAAAAACGACAATTTTATGAAACTAATATTTTCTGTTGAAATATCGACACATCATTGGCGTCTGAGAAGTAAAAAACCGCCATTGCATCTCTTGTGTCGAAATAGCTACATTCGCTTGTACTTACTGAATCTTTTGTCGAAATAACGACAAAGTTATTGAGTATGCCTATTTTTTTTTATCGAAATGAACATTTTTATGCCCATCCTATATGTATTAAAAAACTGTACCGCCTTGAATATGTACGAAATATTTGCCACTGGACGTTAAGCAAACAACAATCAATCTTTCGATCTAAAGTATGAAAACCTTATTTTTTCTGTCAAAATTCCGACGCATTAATCACTTTTGTCGAAAAAACGACATATTTATCAATTCTGCAGAAAGAAAAGACACATTTATCAGTTTAGTTATAATAACAATGTATAGTGATTGAAGTGAGTGAAATATAACAACTGGATTATTCGGGTTATGTTATCTTCTGTAAAATTAACGAAACATATTTCATCCTTTTTATGACTCCCATAGCTTCGAGATAAGACACGAATTAAAAATGTATATATTTTGTTTTTAAATGGGATACTTCCTTATATTATTAGTTTACAACTTTGGTCACGTTTTTACATATTTTAGGTTTTATCTAATACTATCGCATTAACCTCACATTTCTAATGTTTAAAAGGCTGTTAAAATTTATATTTTATAAAATCTATTCAGTAAATTACAATTTTCGTCATTGAACACTTTATTAGGGAGTCACGTGATCACGTGGGATGAACGTTTGATGTATTGTTTGAAAACACTCACGTGTCGATATTTATTTTAATTATGTCATGTACGACGGTGTATTTTTTTACCATTTCAAAGATATATTTACATTAAATAATACAACACAAATAAATTAATATAAGAGGGGTACGATGTCTACGATTGTACCAGATTTATTTAATTACCTATAGAAATTTAACGAATATATATGTATAGCCATGTCTCTTTATTAAAATTTCTTTTAACTTTAATTATTTAATTTTTTTTTCAAAAAAGTAAACTGTTTTTTCATGGTTGAATGATGACAGAAAGAAGGCAAGTAGTGTTGTGTTCAATTATCCAACTTTAAAAGAACTGACTGAACATTCAGCGGATATTTTCAAATGACAAAAACGCCAAAATCCACTGAAACGCATTCTAATGCTGCGTTCACACGTAATTCGAATTCGATTCGCATTAACTAATTCGAACTAGTTTAATTCGCATTCGAAACGTTTAACGTCCAAACGTAAATTCTTATTCGAATTGCAATGCGCGTCATTTTGCTTTACTGTCCTAACGACGTTAACTTTTAATTCGTATTAACAAAAACGCATTTCTAATGCGAATTGGATAATGCGATTTAGCCAATTCGAATCAATTCGAATTAAAAAAGAAGAGTGTGTGAACGCGATTAGCGATTTCGATTCGCATTCGATTCGAATTCAATTCGAATTAAATGTACGTGTGAACGAGGCATTAAAAACAAACTGAAAAAATAGCAACCATCTCCTTACCTTTCTGTTATCCTTTAAATGAATAACAAATGTCATTGGCTGACCACACCCCTCCCCTTTTGATGCAGGTAACCTCCAACTCAGGCGAAGTCCATAAGGGAAGTCAGCTTTTGTACAGGTATCCACATCTCCAGTTTCTTTGGAAATAAAAGGATGGAATCAGAATGATTGGTCTTTAAAAGTTAACTTTCTGTTTTATATTTTGTTATAAGAAATCATTATTAATGATAAACCTTCAAAAGGAATATTGATAGAAGAAAATTTGAAATAATAAAGTGAAGTTAAAACACATTTCGAAAAGGTCCTTACTAGTATATGAAAATGTGACCGTTTTATAATTAAAATAAATAGTAAGAGAAATACATAAAAACATATAATTCGCCGTTTCAGAATCTAATGCCTTTTTGGTAATATATCAAAAATCGCATAACAAAACGTCATTATTGGTTAAAAAATGTCCGAAACAATGGAAATTTAACCAATGACATAACATTCTTCTCATTTTGGGATACAAAAAATGAAATTACACATAGAACTTAAGATTCTGAAACAGTGTAGTGTTGACTTACTCAAAACTTCAGGAACCAAACTTAACAGTTGCAGCGCCTTATCTCCAATCACGTTTCCTTTTATCCCTCCATCAAAAATGATATGCGATTCAAAATGGCGCGTGCCAAATTGCTTTGCTGCATTGATCAGAGAAATGGATTCAAGAAGTTGTTTCATTTCATCTCTAGTCTGTAAAAGAAATACGTGTCATGCGCCTATATTATGAAAGCGACATTATTGTATGGGTATGTACACGAGACAACAAGATAGTTAGAAAAATGACTACGTTATACAAGAAAAACACAGTCAGAGACAATATACTGATAATCAGCAAGTTTTCACAGCGTAGTTATTGCCTTCATTTATAAAAAGAGAAGATGTGGTATGATTCATTGCCAATGAGACAACTCTCAACAAGAGACCAAATGACACAGAAATTAACAGCTATAGGTCACCGTACGGCCTTCAACAATGAGCAAAGCCCATACCGCATAGTCAGCTATAAAAGGTACAAAATAATGAAAAAAAAAAATATGTAACACAGCAACAAACCACTGAATTACAGGCTCCTGACTTGTCTGTTACTTTGAAGGTATTCAAGCCGGATCGAAAGAACTCGTACAATACATGAAAATGGTCCTTATTCCATGTTCATCGATAAAATTTATAATATTATTGAAGGAATAAATCTGAATTCTGATTATATATTATAAACTATATGTATTTAATAAACTCATCATAGATACCAGGATTGAAATTGTGTACGCCAGACGCGCGTTTTGTCTACAAAAGACTCATTAGTGACGCTCGAATAAAAAAAGGTTAAAAGGCCAAATAAATTACGAAGTTGAAGAGCATTGAGGACCCAAAATTCCTAAAAGTATAAAGATCTCGCGAAATATGGGACTGCATTTCATATTTCTATGTACACTTCGGTATTTTGAGATGAGAAATCTAGCTGGTTCTGACCAGGCAAAGAACACGTAAAAAGAGAGGCGGAAGATACCAAACTCACGATACAACACGAACCGACACTGCCATGGCAAAAAACGAAAAACGATGAAAAGACGAACAACAGTATACAAAACAAAACATAGAAATCTAAAGACTGAACACAAACACCACCGAAACTCCGGTTGATCGCAGGTGCCCCGGAAGTGTAGGCAGATCCTGCTCCACCTGTGACACCCTTTATGTTGCTCATGTAAGTACAAACCCGATGATATTTCTAATTTGGTAGGTCACATTCGTGAAAAAGAGGATCAACTATACATAAGACAATGCTAACCAAACGTTTTTCGTAGTGTCCATCTTATTTTTTACGATAAGTAACTTATATATGGGAAGCTGAGTAAATAAAACTTTCTTTTATAATATGCGAGGGTCTAGAATCAGTAGGGGTAGGGACTATTTCTCTATTCTCTAAATTTTTCCACTTTATTCTATATTCTGTTTTATTGATTATATTATATAAATATTATTATGATTATATCTATATAATTGTTTGACCCATTTTTATTTCTTCTGTAAACCCCACCCAGACCCTCATATATACCCTATATGTGCCTTTATTTAGCTACTTTCTTACCTCTCGGTACATAGTTGTACAAATATAAACTTTGGTCTTTTTTATTTGTTCTTCTTGCTGTTCCTGTGTGTCGTCCATAAGTTGCGTCCGTCTGTCCAATAACATCCACTGATCTGGTAATATGCTGTTGTACATCGGCATCCAAAATAACTGTAACATAAATACCAACGATAAAAAAGTTTCCGTTGATAAATTAACTCCCCGAAGCAAAGTTGACCGTAGATTAATTTGACTATTATTTTTAGATATTTTTAGATATTTTTAGATAATTTCAAATGTTTGGGTTTGAGCGTTGCCGATGAAGCAACAGTAAACCCAGAACAGCGCAGACTCACGACTTGTTTTTGAATTTTTGTCAGATATTCGGAATCCTCTGGTTTTATCCATCTAGTACCCATTAAAAATTTTGCCCATTAAGCCCTACTTTTCTTTTCATAATTTTATTATATATAGTTTTGAAAATCTTATAAAAACCTTGTTATTTTTTCATAGTTTTTGAAAGAAAATGCTGCCAATGTTAATTTTATGAAAAATCTAGAGAGAATCATTTCCCGCCAAATTTTCAATGGCTTATATCTCGAAAACAAGCACACGGACCTATCATTTGTTTCTTCTTTTTAAGTTTCGTTATAAATATACTATCTTAGACAATGAACAGAGAACCAGGTCAAGGGTACCTATATCCGGTGGTGATGATACACAGTGATAAAGTATCATTTATGATTGGCTAGAATGGCCGAAATTTTATGGTGATGGTTTTGAATTTCGTTCGTCATAACTGAATATTATTGTCATTTGATATTTTGGTTTTGATGACAGATCGAAGAAAGTCCTTTTATTAGAGCTTGATATTTTGGCTAGACTGTATGCTAACCTCTGGATGGCTTTCGGATCTTTTTGTGTATTTCGGTCACTGTCCCATTCACGAATATTTCACATCTCTTGTTGCTCATACTAGATTGTGAAAGATACGCTTTTTGTTAATCAATTTAATCTTCATAGAAGGTTGACATATTAGTAATACAACTTTTAATATTTATGTTTGAAGTGACATTCTTCATTTTTATTCTTTAAAACAATGACAACGTTTAGTTTGGCCTGTTATAACCAATAAACATACCTTGACTTCTTTTTGCAGTACAATGGTTGAGCTCTTGTAAACATAGTAACCAGTAGAAAGACATTGACCTATGCAGACTAGAAGCAAGGCAGGTAACAAGAACTCCAGATTTTCTGTTCCTGTATGGCAAATATTGTTGCTGTATTCAATATCAGTTTTCCCAAAATAAAGTCCAGAACATAAGTCATTAATATACAGCATGCCAAAGGTAATAGGTGTTGAGAGTAGAAGGGGTACTGCAAACCCTCCTTTACCCATCTGTGTCCGTAAAACATACAGACCTACGGCATAGCCTAAAATACTAGTAATGATATTGATCATGAAAAAATAAGTCTGTCGACCATTTGTAGTTTCCAGATCACCGAGCCTTAAATCCCAGCCTTCGGACCATTCCTTTACAGACCAACCATCAAACACACTTTGAATTAAAAAGGCAAAAAGAAACATTGAAACTGTTTTAGTTCCTGATGAAATAATCATTAATTTATGTGTATATTTTTCTTTTGATTCGATCAGACCGTCATCTGTTTGCTGGCTACTTGTTAAACTGCTACCGCCATACATTGATGATATAGTTCCTTGGCTTTGCTCGTCACTACTCCTACTTTCAGTCGCCTGATATGCTACTTCCGTTTGGTAGGAGTTTGGCTGATCAACGGATACAATTTTCTTTCGTAACCATGGAAGCCACGCGATCGACAAACAAAGTATGGAAACAAATATATGCCATAAATCCTTACTTTCCATGAGTTTTTTGTTTGCTATAACAAAAATAGTTATTCCACAACCAGCTACTACCATAATTGTGGAAACAGCAAATTTGATTGACTGAAACTGACTATTTCTACTTCTATTTACAAATGCAGTCACGACTGAATGACCAATATAAACTCCATCCATTAATAGAACTACTGTTGCAGATTTTTTAATTTTCAAGACTTTCAACGCAAACAAACATAAACCAAACGATTCGATGAGACTAAGGCAAATGCACTGAAAAGAAAACGAGACAGATTTGATACATACCATGAAAGGATTATAAGAGATTCGTTGCAACATATCTATGTATTTTTCAATCTTTTTATCCATTTCCAGATGGTATGTCATTTGTAAGAGTTGGCCGAAATATTTGGGATAAGAATTATGCCCCTTGCGAGAGGTAACCGAAATATACTGAGAAAAAAGTTATGCCCTTGATTGACGTAACCGAAATAACTGGAATAAGAGTTATACCCCTTGCTAGAGGTTATCGAAATAACTGGTAAAAGTTCTCGTTCGGCATTGTACACGATTATTAATCACAAGCAATCAATCTAATATCATTTTGTTATATTACTATTTAAAATGTTCAAATGAGGTTATTCTTAATTATAAATTCTGGCAAAACAATTATATATAAATCACACATTGTTGAGAAAGGGATGAAACAGATTGTTACCCCGAGAAAACATTGTCAACCGAGGCGATTTGTTTATCAATTTGTTGAAATTGGCTTTGAACTAGCTTTCAGTAACTCTTATTATTTTAAGATAGGTACTCTACTTTTTTTGTTGTGTTTCTGACCAATCTGATGAGTTCGGCCCTTTCCAACAGTTACTGATTTTTACAGCTTGTTCTTATGTTGTGCTATTACAAGACTATTCGTGATAAGGGAAGGATTGAGCCGCTCTCAAACATGTATTACCCCGCCAAATTCTTGATGTGCCTGTGCATTTACCAGGAACCTGACTCTAGTTGTATTCTGTTTAAATATCTATATATATAGTTGATAAATCTGACTGCGTACGCACCATATAGCCCAGTTAGTTGAAATTATAATTTCTAATTGAAACCAACAATTATATCATGTGGGCTTACTATATATAATATCTATATATTGATATTTACTCACATAAAATATTTTTAGTTTTGTAGGCCATTTTCTATCTTTCCTATAAAGACTATTCCATGTAAAACGTAAACAAGTTAGAACATTAGGTATTACTAATATTAATAACAGCAATATGAAGCTTGTAGAACAATTTTTTGAATTGTCGCCTTTTTGGTTAGTGAAGCAGTTTCCGGTTTCACTAAGTTTAGCTGCTATTCCAATTGCGGACAGCTTACTTGAAACCAAGCAGACTAATAAAAGCACTCCAAAAACTATTGTCGCTAACCATTTTGTCACAACCACATATTTTGATGGATTTTCTAACACGACATCTGATTGGTGGATATGTCTTTCGATTTTAGATAACCCGGATGCTGAGAGCTGCGATCTCATTTTCGGAACCGTAGTTCTGGTAAATGATGTTGTTGACGTGATGGTATCACCTAGACTGTTGGAAGCTGACCCCATCGTTCTTTCCTGCATGTCTGCTTGTGAACTCATCTCTTATACCACACCTGAATATAAAAGTAATGTAAGGTATTCAGTTCACACAAAAAGATGACGTCTGTATAAATGTTATTCAGTCTTTGGTTTTCTGTGTTATTGTTTGGGGACTGTTGTTTGCCTTTCCGTTTTTTATTCGACATATAGATTTTTATTTTGTCCTGTTTTTACTTTTCATTTTACAATAAACTAAAATAAAAATTACCGAGTCACAATTTCTGCAAATTAGAATGACTATTCATCCTTCCGCCACCTAGTCGTTTAACTGTTTTTCTTTTCAATTTTGCACATGTTGTTTAACAGGGAAAGGTACTTTTTCACATTCTATAGCTACTTGACTTTAAGGGCTTTGCTAATTTCAAAGACATCGTTGTCAATTGTATGTTAACTTTCGATCCTTTTTATTTTTGGAGATAGGTGTAAATCACTTAACATCTCCTTATGACACTAGTCATGTTTACACCTTTTTATAGTACAGGTCTTGTTTCACAACCCCTGTTTTCAGTTCAAACATCGAGGTGAAAAAAATAATCCCAATATTTCTAATTTTTCCTGCAACGAAACGGAAAGAGAGGCGAAAGATACCAATGAGATATTCAAACTAATAAATTGAAAACAAACTGACATTGCCATGACAACAAAAAACCCCGAAAAACTACGAAAAGACAAACATTACACAAAACATAACGTAGACAGCTGTAGGCTGAGCAACACGAACCACACCAAAAACCGGGGGTGATCGCAGGTGCTCCAGAAGAGGTAGCAGATCCTGCTCAACATGTGACACCTGTCACACGGAAGTGAATAAATGTAATTGGCATTGTTCTTCATAACTAGATAGATGGTATTTGTATTGCCGAAAACTTCTATGCGACATTTAAAATAATTCCAATGGATTTGCATGACCACGAAAGGACCGGTCAGTTGCAAGACTGTTATCGTATTTCTAATAAACTGTGACTAAGCGTGTTTAATGCAATGTTTTTATTTTTATTTTTTTGAAGTTATATGTTTTGTATTTATCGTTCGGATATTTTGTTTGATAGAGATAACAACGGTCAATATTTGACGCGTTGACAGACTTTGCCAATTTCCTTATTGAACAAATATAATGTCATGAAATAAAAAAAATAAAAAATACAGGACATAAAATATATTGAATTTCTGGTTAATGCGAGATAAGAAAAACGGTCAATTGTAAAAACTTAGATGACAGGATTGGTTGATCGATTGCTATTTGTTTAACGTCCAGTGGCAAATATTTCATGCATGTTCAGGACGATAGATGACAGGAGGTCGTACGTCAGTTACAATATGATATTCTATTTCGATTTATTTTCATACTTCTCCAAGTTTACAATGGTAACTGTTAGTCCGATTCTATCTAAATACGTAAATTCTATCTAATAAAATTGAGAATGGAAATGGGGAATATGTCAAAGAGACAACAACCCGACCAAAAAGCAGACAACAACACGTAAATTCTATCAAAAAACGTAGAAAAATCTCTTCAATCAAAATTGAGGTTTACGCTATAAAAAAAGGAGGGTAACGGATTTTGGTAATAAAAATGGTGGCTTTGTAAGAACTGAATATTTATCTTTCCTAAGACAGATTAAAATAAAAATTCTGCTTCACAAAATACAAGATATTGTTGTCTACAAAATCGAACATAGTTAAGCCTGTTCGGCAACAGATGAAAATCCGCTAAATCCCCAACCCCAAATACAAAAAAAATCCATTTCGTTTTGAATAATTTTGCCTTGCAGTGAAAATATTCATACTTTTATAAATGAAATTTTTTACATTTACACAGGAAATTCTTAATTTACTGAAAAAAATGAAACTTTTGATTAAAAAGAGGTTGGATAAATCGAATTATTTCATCTTATATTTGATTATGAATTAAATTTACCCTAATTATCCAGTCGTTGTATTCCGCGCACTACGATCCCACAACATTAACTTCTAAAGCCCGAGAGAATCGGAGACGGTAAGGACTGGGAACATCCTCAATTTTATTTCTTTATTTACTTTAGATTTTATTACTTTTTTATTTTTTTTTTTATTTGAATTCATTCAAAGCTTCCTTCCATAAACTTTGTCAAAACAATAACTGTTATATAGCTTTCTACTTACATACGTGTGCTTTTTATGTTTTCTTTGAAAAAAAAATAAGGAACTATTGCATAATCTGGTATAAAAAATACAGGTCACATCAAATAGAATTTAAAAAATCAGTTTGAATATAGAAGTAGTAATAAAAAAAAAATAACAGTTAGTAGTGAGTATTAGAAAAATAACATTAATGACAAAAACAAGAGTTTTTCAAATAATGAATTCTTTTGTTATAAAACTTTATTTTTATACAACTGTTAACTTTTTTATTGCACGTATTTTTACAAGCATAAATCTGGGATAAGATATAAAATTGAGAATGGAAACGGGGAATGTGTCAAAGAGACAGCCACCCGACCAAAGAGCAGAAAACAACCCAAGGCCACCAATGGGTCTTCAACACAGCGAGAAAATCCCGCACCCGGAGGCAGGCTTCAGCTGGCCCCAAAATAAAAATGTGTACTAGTTCAGAGAAAATGGACTAAACTCCGAAACATATAGATGTACCAAAATAAAAAAAACACACAAGACCAACAAAGGCCTGAGGTTCCTGACTTGGGACAGGCGTACAAATGCGGCGGGGTTAGACATGTTTGTGAGATCTTAACCCTCCCATATACCTGTAACCAACATAGAATAAACAAACACATAGCAATACGCAAATTAAAACTCGGTTTAAAAGAAGTCCGAGTTCGATGTAAGAATAGGTAACAGCACAATTCCTCCCGTTAGGGTTTTAGTATCATACCATCATAAAATATACGAGAAGAACATTACCCGTATCATGCCGACAACTGATTTTAGAGTAAATGTGTTTATTTCCGACCCTATGAGTGAATCAATATTAATTAAAAAAATGTCATCTTTAATGACCTGACAACAGTATCGTAACTATATCCCTTCTGAATAAGTCTGTTTAAAGGTTTGGTTAGCTTTTCGGGGTAAATGACGACATTTCTGTGCTTTGTATAAAATATTACCATAAAAGATTGGATGTGAAATACCTGAAAGTATAAGATGTCTAGTATACACGTTGATTTATATTTACATTTTGAAACTTTTCTCCATCATGTTATTTCGTCACGGGTGGAATAATTGCAAACAGTGAACTTATGAATAAGTTAACTTGTAATGTTCATCAGTACATAGGCACTTTGTGTGAAATATTTGTTTAAAAATAAAGAAACTGAATCATTGAAGCAACTTCACATGTAGCAATGTCCAAAACAGAACCGGGAGATGTCTACCTTTCAACGCTTGTACTAAATTTCCCGCCCTTCATCCCGGTAGACACTCTTTGCAGAACCGAGATATTGCTTTGAGTGCTTATCTGTCCTAGTCCTGAATATGCATGAAATATGTGTCACTGGACGTCAGTAAGCAAGCAACAACCAATATAAATGTTTCAAGCTTAGCGGCGAGGCAGTAAACAACATCAGCAGCAAGTTACCCACAGACGACTGCCCAAGGCGATAAAACATTGTTATACTTCATGTCTAAATGCCAGATTTTGATTGGTTAATACGAGGGAGACAATTTACTTTATTATACTTCATGTCAAAATGCCAGATTTTGATTTGTTAATACGAGGGAGACAATTTACTCTATCCTATGATAAATACTCTATTACCCTTCACGGAGACGTTTGATCAAGTATCCGCTTTATTAAATACGGATGGTTGTTATGTACAAGACGTCATAGTTTATTACTTTGAATTTTCTATTTCATAGACAGCAAAAACAGAACATTCAGTATAATAAATTAAATAACACATATCTGAGAGGGTGATACAGCAGATTGTTACCACTCGAAAAGACATTGTCAACCTTGGCTTCGCCTCAGTTGACAATGTTTTCTCCGGGTAACAATCTGCTCTATCACCCTCTCAGCTATGTGTTATTTATATAGTGTTATACGTTACAAAATATTTACATCATAAAGATTAAACTTCTTTCTAAAAATAACCTCACAATGAACTCTCGGTTTGTTTAACTTTTCAATTGATGAAGACACGATATTAATTTATACTATTACTTTATTAGATCATTGGGGGCATGTCTCTTTTCGTATTTAATGTATTATTTCACATCACATGAGTCTTGGCTCACACCGAACAGCAAGCTATAAAGGGTCCCAAAAATTGTAAAACCATTCAAACGGGAAAACCAACGGTCTAATCTATATAAAAAACGAGAAACGAGAAACACTTATGAACCACATCAACAAACGACAACTACTGAACATCAGATTCCTGAATGTGCATGGAATATTTGTCACTTAACGTTCAGCAAGTAACAATGAATATAAAATTAATGTTCCATGCTGAGCGAGGAAGCAGTACACAACACCAGGAGCAAGTTACCCCAAGACGACTGCTCAAGGCGGGTTAACAGTATTATATGTTACAAATTATTTATATCATAAAGATTAAACTTCTTTTAAAAACGACTTCACAATGAGCTTGGTTTAACTTTTCATTTTATGAAGACACGAATTATCAATATTACCTATTATTACTTTATTAGCTCATAGGGAGTATGTCTCTTTGGTATTTGATATTTTTATCATCACATGAATTTATTTGTTTGGAATGAAAAAATAACATGACTCAACGGAATGTAATGAAACTTTCGATTTAAATACGTATTAAATTTCGATAACATTAAAACAAAAAAATATTGATAAATGCAACAGGCATACATATATGCATCTTAAAATTGTTATAGCTATTTTCTTTACTTTGATGTCTGTAAGAAAACGAAACTTACATATTCGTTGTTGTATCCGGCCATCCTGATTAAAAATGGGATCTAACTTCCTTGTTTCCGAAAAATGCAGTAATTTAAATTTATTTTACTACTTTTTATTTAGATGTCTGAATCACCTTGAAGAGATAGTCACATGAGTGCATTTAGTTGTGAATGATCATATTCAGGGTTTATTACAAGTGGTTTAAATATACCGTAAAAACTGCAATGTAACCAGATGATAAATAGATACGTACACATTACTGTCTAACATATGAACATGTCTAAGCAGTAAATTGTAAACAGTGTACATGTTGAATATATTTTCTTTGATAAATGCTAAGACAAATTCGTGAGCGCAAATTTAAAAAAAAAGTTGTGGAAAGGCGTTTTGGTCAATATGATTGTTGCACCCGGTGTAAAATTATTGATGGTCAATTTAAACCGAGTATACGTAGATAGTTAGATGATAACGATATAAGTACCGACCACTGAAGTATCAATATTAGTACATGTGCAGATTATTTACAAATAAGTATGATATAAGATAAATATGGAGAAGTGAACAAGGGGGACAACCAATACCGGAATAGATCAGAAAACAACATAAATCTTTTGATAACAAACTGAAAGACAGAAAAGTAGTCCTGAAACATTTCATAGTGGCAGCGTGCTCGTCAAAAGTGTGAAATGTCGGGTCAAACCAAGGAAAACACTTTATTATTGGTGTCCCTGTTTCTCCGCTAAGAAATAGTATTTAAGGAGTAAGAGCAAAGACTGGTCGGCTCGGTGTCAGAAAATGTGTTCTGGAAGAGTGACATTTTTTCTTGCGGCCTTGTGAGCTACCACACAGACAATCAGGGGACAGATTAATATAAGTACTTGTTGCTTGTATCTGTATCATTTTTGCTACGGCTTGAATTTATATTGAATAAGATGTATTTAATTCATAATAAAATATTGTTTATACTAAAAATTCAGCTTTGCGTGTTGGTCTACTCTAGTACAAAGTATTGTTCATATTCATATCGCATTATATAACACGTTTTTATCCTGGAAATACATTTATAGGTATACCACTGGACGTTAAGTAGCTATCCACTTTTTTGTTTTTGTTTTTAGCACTCAGACTGTCGTTAACATTTACATTATTTTATATATATAAAACAAATAGCCATCCACCATCATTACCGATTGAGGGATGAATGCAGAGGCTCTCCATGGACGTGTAGACCAGTGGTCATAATATTGTATTTCTTCTGTTATATGACGCGTTTCTAGATACAATGGAATGGGCACAATCTATACATTGGATTTATATTCAAGGTACTTCTGTTTTTGTTTTGTTGATCTTTATCTGACTGTTTTGTTATTTTCTAAGCCCTGCATGCTGTTTCTCTTAATCATTTCTTAAAAAAAAATAATTAAAAAATCAAATATTTGCATCTTTAATGATACATGAATACATGATACATCAATATCTCAGGTTAAATTGAATTCCTCACTGAAATACTGAATTTGGTTAAATCACAAATAGATGGTGATGGTGATGAAATTGTGTTAAACGTCCAGTGTCAAATATTACATACATGTTATTGTGTTTTGAATATGCATTTAGTTTGAATTTTACCGACAGGCTGGACCGGATTTCATCGTGCTAGCTAGTTCATACAACATTTCGCTACAAGACAATGTCATGTCAGTGACACCCTACCCGGACTCTTTATTTGACACAGAGCCGACCCGTATGTGGTACTCCTAAATGCCACGTTCTTAGCCAATTTCAAGTATTTCCTGCCGGAGGTCGAACTCGCAACCTCCTGTATTCAAGGTGAACACTTTACCACATAACAAATAGAAATCAAAAATAGAGAGCAATATGAAATATAAATACTTAATATGTAATTTAAATAAAACCTGATAGTCAATGGTTAAAAATACACTTCAGGTAAAGTTTTTATTAGATTTATTACGAAATATCATAATAAAAGAATTAATATCAGTTTCAATGGATGTTATTTATTGGTACGTTTGAACTTAATACCGTACAAGGTCAAATATGTAACCTTTCTGTTTGCTTAGTTATCTTTATATACTAGGCGACAAAAGTAACGACACATTTTAAATCACCAAACCACATTTTCGACCCAACTAAACAAAAAGAAATAAAATAATAGTTGTCGGGAGATAGGACTACAATAGTTTAATGTGTCCTCCGTTTATAACAATGCTACATAAAACCTTTTTTTGCCAAAACTTTGTGGAACCAGAAGGTTTAGTATAGTACTTGTCCATTATTGACATGTTTATATCACTACACCACGTTCACTGTACCTGCTCAATCCTATTTAAAGCATACTAGCGAACAAGGTAAAATAAAAGGCCAGGAAAAACGTCACCTTGGCTGTACACATTTCTGCTTCTCCTTACCGATGCGTGCTAAATGGAGAAGTAGCAAAACCATATGTAAGTAGTCTTTGGTTGACACGACAGAATGACGGAACCTTTGACACGAACAAGATACAGTCTGAGAACCAAGCCTCTATTAAAGAGGTTTACTAAGGAGGAAGTATGGTGAACAAAGCAACCCTAATGTCAAACGAAACCATCTTAGAGGTTTATGTTTTAGGAAATTCCGTCTACAAATCAATTTTAATGTCGAACGAATTGGTTAGGAAGATGTTCCGTAAAAGCCAACTTTAATGTCAAGGAGTTGGACCAATCAGAGAGGACACAAGTTAAGTTACGTCGATTTAGGTGTGATTAACCCAAAACGATTGTGATATCATTCTGCAAGGTCCGATCGACGTTTTTTATAAATATTTCAAACACGCTAGATATAAGACATTATATGTTCAATCATTTTAAGTAGAAAAAGGTGCAATTCTAAACGGTAAACAGCAAGTGTTTAGTTTTAAAAAACCCCACACACAATCAAATCAAATTAAAATACAGATTCATACACATGGCCTTGTTCGATGTCGTTGCGGTTATCATCCTGCGACTCCCCTTATCAGCCCGAGGCGCTAGACGAGGGTTATTAAGGGTTATCAATTCGGGGTGAACGAGGAGCACTTGATAAAGGCTTATCAGTGGGATAAGCTGATATGTATCATTGCTTACATCCGTCAGTTTAACCTATGCTTAATATAACATTTTGTTGTTAAGTATGAGATAAAATAATAATGTAATTAATACTAATGATAATAATACTACTACTAATAATAAATCAGTTGTGTATATGCTCCATCGCGGATTTTTGCTCAGTTGTCAAAATCCACACTTATTTCTTTCATACTATTGCATAACACACAGTGACAAACATTTCATTCATTGATAATTGGTTATTCCGATATAAGTGCTTCCTCGGAGTTTGCATACGATTCGTTGTTCAGAATCTATTTGTGGTTAAACATTCATTGTTCACAATCCCTGGGACTCGCTCAAACTTCCATACCACGCCTGCAGTTTGTCGTATCGGCGCGGTTAAAATCCAGAGTTTCCCATATTCATCCCGGGACATATAGCAAAAGTTTGCATGAAATAAGTGTAGATTCCGACATCTGCAGTGTTATAAATTAAGTATTAGTCACCATCAATTTGATGTTAATTTCATATTTACCTAAGTTTTCTTTTCAAAAAATTATTATGAGGTCGTTATTATTGTTGTTGGATTTTTTCTTTTTTAAATTTAATACAAATTCATTTCCAATATCCTGTTACAATTACATTAGTAGCCAGAAAGTATACTGAAGGTCCCGTTGGTTGGAATTTAATCAACTTGCTACATGTACCAATAAAAGCAGAATGGTCACAGGTTATTTGTTTCTATTTCATTTTCATTTTTGTTGTGAAACGTTCTCATTTTATGATAATATAAAGTATTATTTTTAGTCCGAAAATTTACTAAATATTTCAAACAAATTTAATTGTAAAAAAAGATATAATACATGTTCACATAAGGAGAAAATAAGACAAATTTATGACTGTACATAAACATAATATATGCTTTTCAATATCTGTGTCTTTCAAAATATGGTTTGTTAAAAATTAACCATAAAAGCCTTCAAATTTATGAAATAAATAATTTGCTAAAAAAAATTGGATGACGAATACTTACTGCATACCGCAGTAGATATTTCCATCTTTCAAACCATAGCTTTTTTTCTAAACCCCAAAGCTGATTTCCTTTCTTATGTCGGAATTGTAAATGAAGAAACAAACAAAAATTAAATGAATAATTTGAATTATAATTTTACACAATTTAAATAACCAACAATCTTTGACGGAATTCGCAAAAATAGTATAAAACATACGTGCAGTTAATTCTGAGTTATAGTATTGATATTAAGTCTGTTTCTGTGAAGCTGGCAGACGATGAGACGAAATATATTTGTGCTATACCTATACTGAAAAATCAGTTTTAAATTTATACTTATGCTGATATCAGTTTCCATTATGATAGCTACTGTGATATTTTAAGCTAATTATTAATTATTACGAAAAATGCGGAAGAGCGATTATCATTTATTTACTTTATCTATGATCACTTTTCAATTATCCAATCAAAATACACCTACACTGATTAATTATAACTTACGTATATACCTTTTGTAACCATAAATTAATTAAAAAAAGTAAAGAAAAAAAAAAAAAATCTTTCGCGGCCGGGGGTGAGCGGAGGGTATTTTCTTCCCCCTATATCGCTTTGCTACTAGCGATATAGCATACTCATAATATCTTTTCAGAAGTTCAGTTGCTGATATTAGAATTTTATGATTGCTTTAATTTCAGGTTATATACGTTGAAATTACTTTGGTTAACTGGAGCAATTGAAACACCGCAGTTATCCTTACGATCTTTCGATATAACACTTCCGTGATAGGATTTGTTTTTATTTTGTATCTATATATTGAAAGTTTTAAAGAATGCGAGTGTATAAAGAAAAGATATTTTACAAAACGCAAAGTCTCAATGTGTAAGATTTTTATAAATAAAAGGAGATGTGTGGCATAGTTCAGCGATAAAGCAGCCAAACTTACAGCCTATAAAATAAAAATGTAATCCCCAAAATAGCCTAGACAACTTTTTAACTAGTTTGTTATTGATCTCTTTGTATTTATCTGTCAATTGGCAATGTTTTGGATTAATAACCGTATTAAGGTGGATGGGGTGTCTAAATTAAAATCCATAGAATTTTTTAATTGTTTGTCAAAATGTAGTTTTAATCATGCTATTTTCCAAAATATAATAAAAAGTATGGGTCACCGGACTTTTGTTCACGCTACAGGTTGTGCAAAATTGTCAGATTTTGTATAGATTATGCATTGAAAATCCAATTTTGAGTGATAAAAAGAAAACTACACCATAGAATTTTAAGATAAAATGTGAGAAGATAGCTCTCATAACATGCTTTCAGATAAGAAAAAGAAAAAATGGGGTTTCCGGACTTGTTTTCTTCCTGCATATTAAAATAGGTAAATTCACAACACTTTCTATTATAAAAATTACTTTATTTGAGTTATCTCCCCTACAATCGTAGTTATCTCCCCTTATGTGGCAAAGTTGAAAAAAAATGAATCAAACAAAAATATTGTGTTTTTTTTTTTAGAAAATACAGCCGTAAATATGATAAAACACATAATTTTCTATATTAACATGAAAAGTCTTACACATGAATTACATACTACTCTAAAAATTTGCACATTTCATTAAAGATCTAGACCAATTGTTATTTGCTACTTCAAAATCCAAGATGGAGGAAGACACCCCAGCCACCTTAAATCGATAACGTCCAGTGGTAAATATTTCGTGCATTTTTCGTACTATAAGAAAAATATCAGTTGATATCATAGGTTTGCTTTGCATGAATGGAAACAAAATTATTCCAGATCCAAGTAAATTTCAAACTGTGTTATACTGCTGATCATAATCTAAATGGTCCCACTTTATTACCCCATTATTTTTCCTATATCCCACTTCTTTTTACCCTCTATATTCCACGTCCCAAAAGCGTGTCATCTCCCTCGTCAGTAGATCTAAACACAAATCTTTAACAAAATCCATACACATATTTTATTTACTGTTTAATATTTTCATTAATGATCGACACTTGCATTTTTAACGCAACTGTTTACTTATAAATATATAGTTATGTAGTAAATGCGACAGTTTTCATTCGTGTACAGTACTTTGTGCCTTGGTTTTATCTATAGTATTCTTTTTTTAAAATAAATTATACTTTTAAGATAGTGTACACTTTTTGCTGTTACATTGTAAAAGATTTATTTGTTGAACAATAAGTTCACCAATTGGAAAATTTTATAATGTGCAATAACCCTTTAAAAGTTATAGGAAAGATAGATTGATCGATTGTATTTTAATGTCCAGTGACATGTGTTACAAGCATACCAGGACGATAAAATGATAAGAATATGAACACTCTTTAAACTAGACTAACATGCAAGATACATGTTACAGTCAGTTTGAAGGTGTCAGACCACCAATTCAAAATCCCTATCTATTCAACCAAATTTTGCAATTTTCACAGCTTTCTACATATTTTACCTTAAGTTTAACTTCATAGAAATCAGATATATCCTGAATTGTACATGCATTACCTTTCTACATGCCAATTTTCAACCCATGTTTAAAGTTTTATAAGAAAGATCTGCCCTTCGGAAGCCAAGTACTACTAAAATTAACCCCTGGTTTTACGGAAATCTTAAATTAGTATACTATGGAGCGCATTAATCCTCAATTTTTAATGCAAACTCATAGACAAGTAAATTTTGGCTCAAAATGGTCTAAATATATTTCTTTTTTTATCAAAATTTTCATTTCTGCAAATTTGTTGGTTAGTTTTAAGTAAACAATGACATCAAAAGCACTATTTTTTGTCAGAGTAGGGCTACTTTTACATACGGTCTAAATTGGAAGAAGTGAATTGGTGGTCTGACACCCCAAAAAGCAATTAAATCTTATTTCATGTTAAAGCATGATATATGCAGGAAATCCAATTACATATAATGGTATCTTGGTGTAAATACATTTGTACATGTATTTGTCTCGTTTAGGGGTCGACCATTTAATTGTCTAGGGGGGCAGGAGGATTTTGAAAATAAGTAACTTGGTCTGGTAAGAACTTCAAATAAATTACATTCCAGAAGACATGATGAAAATGAAAAATTCTGCATCACAAAATGCAGGTAACAATTGTGTTCAATATTGAAAATAAATTTTCGCGCGAAAAAGCAGCAGAAAAAAAATATATTGCGTAGCAACAGGTGACAATTTATATTCAATCCGTAAAAATCCTCCTGTTATAATATACCTGACTTAGTTTTGGGGGACTAAAGACAAGTATGAAATATAAATCAAACGCAGAACTATTAAATTACAGAGATGATACATGTAATAATCACAGCAATCGTGGATAAGGCAATACAGTTCCGGAAAATACGGATTCAACATACAGATATACAACACTGTCCCCTCCCCCAGATGACCAAATGTCGTCTCGTCCCTTTAGCTATGACAATATTCTTAACAGATGGTACCCGTAAATGAATTATTTCTAGATAAAACTTGTAATAGTTTAACAGATAAGAAATTAAAACATGGTTGCATTATCTGATGACCAAATTAAATGTTTAATTCCTACGGCAATGGTGTTTCATGTACAAATTAATTACTAGTGTAAATCATCCAAAACGTATGGGAAATATTGCAAAATGGTAATCTGCCTGAATAGCCTCTCTTTCTCTGTTTTCTTGTTTTCTACTAGATATTCATGCATATTTATGTTTAGGGGCCAGCTGAAACCCGCCTCTGAGTGCGGGATTTTCTCGCTGTGTTAAAGACCCATTGGTGGTCCTCGGCTATTTTCTTCTTTGAACGGGTTGTTGCCTCTTTGACATATTCCCCATTTCCATTCTCAATTTTATTTTATATGAGAATTTTCAGTCATCTTTAAGTTACCAGATTTGCTTTTTAATTGATAAGGCTTAAAGAGGGGTACAGTGCTTTAATTAATAATGCTTAAAGAGGAGGTACTTCCTATATACAAGGTGATAGGACGTGTCGGTGGAATCGGTCACATTTTCCAGCTTGAAAATTTGTGAATAGGTGAGGAAAACTATCAGAAATATATGATAAGGTTACTAAAGTACCCCTTACTTGTTATACGAAAAGCCCTTAATACGTAATTTTTTCATAGCCAAAGTCTGCACCATCTTTTGAAACTGATGTTATACCGTATTCCACTTTTCCAACTCATCACACGAAACCCAACCAATATGGGAAACGTTACATTTTTACCAGCGGCACCCCTTTCAATTAAGTATTGAAGTGTTGAAGTGGGCATTTTATTTTGTAGATGTACGACAATGTCATAGAGCAACCATTTAACTTCAAAGGAAGGGGGGAGGGGGGTATGGTTTTTTGACTGAGTCAGAATTTTTTTTTTTGCTAAGCGTGAACATCTTGTTTAGTTTTTCGACGCTATCAATCAAATTATTTTTTCTTTTAACATTATAAGGTATGGGGAAAATCTGGATTCAGATTTTTTTTTGTCATCTGCTGGACCACAATATTTTTTTTCATCATCATATTGGGGATCCGAATATGTTTTTCAGGAAAAAACCATACCCCCCCCTTTTTGAATTAAATGGTCGTTCCCTTCGTGGTATGTTTTAGAATTTTAAAGATGGAACATTCTAATGTTGAAATAAATTCTCCAAACAGATTCATGCAAATAAATATGGAAACTAATGTTCCTCTTTTGCCTTGAAAGTCAGAGGAACTCTTCTATTTACACTCATTGTTTATCTCTGTCTCTTTTAATTAGTTAAGACCTAAATTTGATTTTTTAACCTTCGGCTGTGAATACTGACTTGCTTTTCTTCTTGTTTCGTAAGCTCGTACACAAAAAAATGATATTTTCTTACGATGTACATAGAATTGTAAATGTAATAAGAATATTCTAAACATCCTGTTGCAAAAAGTATTCTTAAGTTATTAATGAATTAAATAAATACCAAAACATATAAATCTCTCGTTCAAAATACATTTACATGTATGTACAAAAAAAGCCTCAAAAGGGCTAATGTTAAATATAGGGGGCTGTGCATATTAGGGAGCTACCATTTGATTTTTATGGGGGGGGGGGGGGGGGGGGCTAGGATGAAAAATGTTGTCATGCCTTTTTTTTTAGTTGTAATCTGTCCTGCCTTTTTATTTTTCACTCTATTCGGTCCTTTTTCTTTTTTTACTCAAAACTCCTGTCCTGCCTTTTTTTCAAATTTCATCCTAGCCCCCCACCCCCACCACCCTAAAAATCAAATGGTAACTCCCTTACATAGGTCATCATACTAGGTAGAATAAAAAGAAGAGATATTTTTATATAGAATAATAATCATTATTATCTTTATTTAATGGCAACATTTGCCAGGATATAAAAGCTAATCGGTACATCATTAAATTTTGTGTATAATTTTTCTGTTAAGTTACTAATTAAATGAAATTTATCTGATTAAGCTCGGGGTAGTTTCAGGGTTGTACATGTATAAAAGGAACATGGCTGTATTTATCAGTATCTGAAACTTCACAGATTTCAACAGAGCAGATTTCGAAAATGCAGGTAAGAGTTCTTATATTTACTTTGTAACTTTTTGGTTTCAAAAGAAACAAGTTACTTTTTTCACTTCACTTTTGAGACAGTTTTTTTTTTAAACCACGCTCCCCTATATAAATAGCTACAAAATATGAATGGTTGGTTCCTATTTACTATGAAACATTCACAGAAAGAGTTAATTTAAATATAAATGTATTGACAACATACGGTAGCAACAATTTTTTTGTCTGAGTCAGAATTTTTTTCGACGCTACCAATCAAATTACTTTTTTTTTTAAAATTCAACACAATAAGGTATGGGGAAAATCTGAATTAAGATTATTTTGTTTGTCATCTGCTTGACCACAATCTTTTTTTCTTCAGCAAATTGGGGAACAGAATATTGTTTTAGGAACACCATAACCCCCCTCCCCCCAAAGATCACCCTCTTCATGTCCCGCTATCGTCCTTAATATGCATGAAATATTTGCCGTTGGACGTTAAGCAACCAACAATCAATCATCTCCCGCTGTAGTAATACTCATGCATATTCAACCCCAACTAATAAATCAGTTCTCTTAAATTCGTAGACTTACCCTGCCACATATTCATGTCGGACGTTTTAGCAAATACATCAAAACCACTAGTGTATGTTTTTGTGCCGACATCATAACCCATTTTAGCGTAAGATTAACCCGTTCACCTTTTTTTCTAATAGCTTATTTTAGCGCTTGATTATCCTGTTCACGTTTTTTTTAATAGCCCATTTTAGCTAGATTAACCTATTCACCTTTTTTTTCCTAATAGCCCATTTTTGCGCTAGACTAACCCGTTCACCTTTTTTCCAATAGCCCATTTCAGCGCTAGATTATCCCGTTCACCATTTTTTCCCAATAGCCCATTTTAGCAATAGATTAACCCGTTCACCTTTTTTTCTAATAGCCCATTTCAGCGCTAGATTAACCCGTTCACCTCTTTTTCTAATAGCCCATTTCAGCGCTAGATTAATCCGTTCGCTTTTTATTCTAATAGCCCATTTTAGGGATAGATTAACCCGTTCTCTTTTTTTCTTGATAGTACATTTAGCGCTAGATTAACCCGTTCTCTTTTTTCCAATAGCCCATTTCAGCGCTAGATTATCCCGTTCACCATTTTTTTCCAATAGCCCATTTTAGCAATAGATTAACCTGTTCACGTTTTTTTCTAATAGCCCATTTCAGCGCTAGATTACGGAAGCCGATAAGGGCCATTCAAAAAAAAAAAAATATGTCGTAATTACGACATAACATGTCGTAATTACGACATAACATGTCGTAATAACGACATCACCATGTCGTAATTTCGACATAACATGTCGTTAAAACGACATAACATGTCGTCTAAACGACATCGCTATGTCGTAATTTCGACATAACATGTCGTTATAACGACATCGCTATGTCGTAATTTCGACATAACATGTCGTTATAACGACATCGATATGTCGTAATTTCGACATAACAAGTCGTAATTACGACATCACTATAGCTATGTCGTAATTTCGACATAGCATGTCGTTATAACGACATCGCTATGTCGTAATTTCGACATAACAAGTCGTAATTACGACATCACTATAGCTATGTCGTAAAAACGACATCGCTATATATATAAAAGAATATGTATTATGATTGCCAAGAGACTAAATGACACAGAAATAAGCAACTATAGGTCATCATAATGGCCTCAATAATGTGAAAAGCCCCCGCATAGTCAGCTATGAAAGAGGGACGAAAGATACCAGAGGGAGAGTCCCCGAAATGACAGCTGTTTAACAATTTAATTCAAACGAGTGAAAATAACGGTTTTAATAATGTACAAACAAAGACCGAAACACGAATATGTAACACAGCAACAAATGACAACCACTGAATTACAGACTCCTGACCGCTATCTGATAATAACGACAACCTTATAGTTTAACTTTTCACTTTTTGAAGCGATAGGAATTTCAAAATGGTCGCCAGTAAAGGCAAAGTTTGTATCGTAAACAAATTCATCTTTTTTTTTTTAGAATATTGAACACTTTATGCAATCAAACTTAATTAAAGTTATTCACTAGCACCTCAGACTTGCACATACTAGAACTTTATTTATAATCAAGTCAAATGAGACCCAGTTGAATAGGGGAGCAATTCAAGCTCCCTGGATCCTCTAATTATGTTTGGCATTGCAGGTTCTGAATAAGATGAATTTTAAGCTTTTCCCAATAAAGACTATGTTAAACTTTGGACTCATAGTGCTCAGACCCACGGATCTCTGTACCTTCATTTGTACACACTTGAATCTTAATGAACTACTGAGGCTTGAAGCAAATTATAACTGTATTGCTATTGTTGGTTCTTAATGAGATTCTTCAAGCGTCCTCCCCATTGAAGCCCTATTAAAACTTTGTACCCCAAGTTCTTTTAACCACTGTTCCCCAGGACAACTATTCCTACAAACTTAGAGGGAGGTTTGGGATCCCGCTAACATGTTTAACCCCGCCACATTCTTAATGTATGTGTCTGTCCCAAGTCTTTAATTTACATATTTGTTTTTCGTTTATTTTTGTACATAGAATAGGCCGCTAGTTTTTCTCGTTTGAATTGTATTACATTTGTCATTTCGGGGCCTTTTATAGCTGACTATGCGGTATGGGCTGTGATCATTGTTGAAGGCCGTACGGTGACCTATAATTGTTAATTTCTGTGTCATTTGGTTTCTTGTTGAGAGTTGCGTTTTTGAACAAACCAGCGTATCCCAAAGCCTTGATAACCTCTGTAGGCCCCAAATAAGACGAAAAAACATCAAAATTGGAGAGAAAACAGAAAGATAAATGGTTTCTAACCTCAGGGATATTAACCCTTGGCATGCTGAATTGTTATCAGAAATTGTCTAAATTTCGAGTATTTGTAAAAATATGCAAATGATATGCAAATGAGCTGTACCCTGATGCTGATGCATACTGATTGCATTAAATCTAAGATAGCCAAGGGTTAATATCCCTGAGGTTAGAAACAATTGTTTTCAGTTTTCTCTCCAATTTTGATGTTTTTTTTCGTCTTATTTGGGGCCTACAGAGGTTATCAAGGCCTTGGGATACGCTGGTTTGTTCAAAAACGCAACTCTCAACAAGAAACCAAATGACACAGAAATTTACAATTAAAGTCACCGTACGGCCTTCAACAATGATCACAGCCCATACCGCATAGTCAGCCATAAAAGGCCCCGAAATGACAAATGTAATACAATTCAAACGAGAAAAACTAGCGGCCTATTTTATGTACAAAAATAAACGAAAAACAAATATGTAAATTAAAGACTTGGGACATACACATACATAAAGAATGTGGCGGGGTTAAACATGTTAGCGGAATCCTAACCCTCCCCTTAAGTTTGTAGGAATAGTTGCCCTGGGGAACAGTGGTTAAAAGAACTTGGGGTACATTTAGTAGGGCTTCAATGGGGAGGACGCTTGAAGAATCTCATTAAGAACCAACAATAGCAATGCAGTAATAATTTGCATCAAGCCTCAGTAGTTACTGTACATTAAGATTCAAGTGTGTACAAATGAAGGTACAGAGATCCGTGGGTCTGAGCACTATGAGTCCAAAGTTTAACATAGTCTTTATTGGGAAAAGCTTAAAATTCATCTTATTCAGAACCTGCAATGGAAATGCAGGACTTCATAATTTACACAAATCTGTACATGCCAAACATAATTAGAGGCTCCAAGGAGCTTGAATTGCTCCCCTATTCAACTGGGTCTCATTTGACTTGATTATAAATAAAGTTCTAGTATGTGCAAGTCTGAGGTGCAAGTGAATAACTTTAATTAAGCTTGATTGCATATAGTGTTCATTATTCTAAAAAAAAAAAGATGAATTTGTTTCCGCTACAAACTTTGCCTTTACTGACAACCATTTTGAAATGCCTATCGCATCAAAAAGTGAAAAGTTAAACTATAAGGTTGCCGTTATTATCACATAGCGGTCAGGAGTCTGTAATTCAGTGGTTGTCATTTGTTTGCTGTGTTACATATTCGTTTTTCGGTCTTTGTTTGTACATTATTAAAACCGTTATTTTCATTCGTTTGAATTAAATTATTAAACAGCTGTCATGTCGGGGACTCTCCCTCTGGTATCTTTCGTCCCTCTTTTATAGCTGACTATGCGGGGGCTTTTCTCATTATTGAGGCCATTATGATGACCTATAGTTGTTAATTTCTGTGTCATTAAGTCTCTTGGCAATCATAATACATATTCTTTTATATATATATAGCGATGTCGTTATAACGACATAGCTATGTCGTTATTACGACATAGTGATGTCGTAATAACGACATGTTATGTCGAAATTACGACATAGCGATGTCGTTATAACGACATGTTATGTCGAAATTACGATATAGCGATGTCGTTATAACGACATGTTATGTCGAAATTACGACATGCTATGTCGTAATTACGACATAATTTTTTTTTTTGAATGGCCCTTATCGGCTTCCGTACCAAGAGACTTAATGACACAGAAATTAACAACTATAGGTCATCATAATGCCCTCAATAATGAGAAAAGCCCCCGCATAGTCAGCTATAAAAGAGGGACGAAAGATACCAGAGGGAGAGTCCCCGACATGACAGCTGTTTAATAATTTAATTCATACGAGTGAAAATAACGGTTTTAATAATGTACAAACAAAGACCGAAAAACGAATATGTAACACAGCAACAAATGACAATTCCACTGAATTACAGACTCCTGACCGCTATGTGATAATAACGGCAACCTTATAGTTTAACTTTTCACTTTTTGATGCGATAGGCATTTCAAAATGGTTGTCAGTAAAGGCAAAGTTTGTAGCAAATTCATCTTTTTTTTTTTTAGAATAATGAACACTAGTCTATATGCAATCAAGCTTAATTAAAGTGATTCACTTGCACCTCAGACTTGCACATACTAGAACTTTATTTATAATCAAGTCAAATGAGACCCAGTTGAATAGG